ACAGCGTTACAAGCATGCACGACATTGTCCAGGCGCTCTGACATTCGCTTTTCGGACTCCTCGTAACGCGTTTCCCTCAACTCTTTTTCTTTCAGTAAAGCATCAGTTTTCATCTTGAGGTTGTGATAGTCCCTGAGAATGTTAGCTTTTTCAGATTCCAGCTCCTGGCGGATATTTCGAAACCAAGTGGGCAAAATGGCCTACCTTCTTTTCGGACTTCAGCTGTTCCAAGTGAGATTCCGTTTTCGTCTGAAAATCTAACAACGCGACTTCTGCCGACGCTTTCTGTGCCTTAGCAATAGAAACTTTAGAGTTGTACAGCGAAGCTTGACAAGTAAAGAAGAACAGCGACGGATTACCTAAGTCGAGCTTCATAGGGGCCGAACCCAGTTGATACTTTTGTAGCATCACAACAGGAGACCTGGAATTATCAAGCAAATATACAATAACTCGGAAGCTAATGAGGGCACGTTATAACAAGACCGCTCCTGAGCAGTGCTGAAGAGAAAAAAGGGAAGGATGGAAAGCAGCTGATATAGAAAGTTGTGCATGGAAATGCAAGATTCGCAGAAGTGCGATGAATCCGGCTGCTCTCACTCAAAGTGTTAATTTAGTAATAAACATAATAGTTCAAGCAACGGATGAAGTTGAACTGTGTTCGAGAAAGCACTTCTAGGAGTATATGGAAAGCTACCTATCGTTAGCGAACAACTGATTTCATTTGGTGAAATAATTGAGGAGCTGAGAAGGAAGAAATGATTACAAGAGCTCCACTATCTCCGTGAATGCACCAGATATGAAAGTAAGAAAAAGATGGTGCGACGGATCCTGAGAATTTCATTCAGTTAGCTCAGACCCAACCCATCATTTCAGTAAAACACTTCGTGATGTGTTGCTATAATAATAAATAAATAATGTGTTAGCTGTACGCCGTAACGGCGCTTCGCTGCCGCGCGACCACCACCAGTCGCGCGCGAGCTGAGTATGCCGTGAGGACGCCCACCCCTACGCGGATTCGAACCGGTGACCTTATGGTTGCAAAACAAACGTGCAGACCACTCGGCCACCGGCCGACGATGTGTTGCCAAGTTGACAACCACTCACCTCAGGTATTTATTTAACTAAGCGCACAAAAGAAATGTAATACGCAGATGCAGCAGACTAGGTAAGGTACGAAGATATGACTAATTCAGCGTAAGCGATTGGAGTTCAGCATTTATTCTAACAAGGCACAAGAGAGTCGGTTGTCAAGACCTAAATGAAGTGCGGTGGACTTTTTCTACACATCTATGGGATAGGCATCTGTGGTCGAACAGTCTTTTAACATCCCCAGAGTGAAGTGATCAGGTCACTGATTCATAAGCTAAAGAAAACCACAGGGAAAACATTTAAATCCCGTGGTCATGAAAGACAAGCAGTTAGGCGTTGTGAGAGAAAAGATTAAGCGTTGCAACAACCAAAGGTGATAGCCATCTGTGCAACAGCGATGTTGGGCCAGTTCGAGTGCCTAACCGGTGCCTTAGTGGACCAGGTTACGCAACCGTACAGGAGGGTAAAATGTACGGCTGCATTAGAAACTCTGCCCTTCAGGGGGACAGAGATGTCGTGCCCGCGTCACAGATGGTGGATACTGGCAAAATCAACTCGAGTTTTCCCATACTGTTTGTGAGCTCATCTTTCAACTCCGTCGGCGCTGATATAGCTGACAGACTTGAATTTCGCGACGACTCCAAGCTGATCACCACCAAGGGTCAGGGAAGGGATCTTGTCAATCTTGTAGAAGGGACTTTGCATTTCGACGGTGCAAACGATGACCCAGAACGACTGACAAACAGAGCTAATATGTCCAGTGCTGCCTGGCACGTTTGTGAGCTGTCACAGATGAACGCAATGTCATCAGCGTACTCCATGTCAAGAATTCGATCACCTGGGAGCAGCTCCGCGCCTTGCAGCACGTGTTCAGTGAACGCGGTTCCCATGACTTCGTCTAGGCCTGCCGGAGATAATGAAGGGCGACGATAGCTTGCTGCAGATCCTCACTTAACCCGAAGTATGCGAGTACAACGCTACTATGATGTTTACGTATTTGTCGGGCACACCTTTTCTGAGTACAGTCTGAAAGGGTACATCGACCAAACGAAACAAAGGCACGTTTTGATGTCGATAAACTCGACAACGGTGCTCCGCCAATATATGTGAAGGTGATCCGATAATTGACGTAATGTGAAGATGTTGTCAGTGCATCTTCGATTTCGACGAAAGCCGACTTGCTCTTCAAGAATGTGGCTTTCACGAATGCCAGTTAGTCTATGAAGAACGACATATGCGGATACCTTACATACAATTTAGACCAGACCGATCCCTCTATGATTACCGCATTCCGAACGCGCAACGAGCATAAGGAGACCTGGTGTTAGCTAGACAATACACGACAAGAGTGGACAGCCAACCGACAGTTTATCAAAACGCTTGGAGCGCTAGGCTGAGCACTATAAAAAGCAAGTTAATCAACCAGAACTACTAGAGTCGCTCGGGTTAGTGACCGCATTGATCTCTGCGCCGTCCCGTTTGACCCGCCCTTACGCGCATAATTCGAAAGTGAGATCAAGTTTCCGCAGAAGCAGACTTCATCCAGCTCGTTTAAATTCGAAAGGACAACAAACTAGAACCGCTCCGTCATAATCCAAATTTGCATGGGAGATTCACGTTCGTAGTGGATATCTATATAGATATCAGTCTGATTTCTAATGCTTCTAAGCTTCTAGTTTCTGTCGTGCTCCATAGACCGGTTGGCACCCGTAAAAGCCAGATGCACAAGGAGCAAGTCAGTTTTCATCGGAATCAAAGATGTACTAACCACATCTACATATCACACCAATTATCGGATCATCTTCATATATATTGGCGGAGCACCGTTGTCGTGTTTCTCGACATCAAAACGTGCCTTGGTTTCGGTTGATCGATGTACCCTTTCAGACTGTACTCAGAAAAGGTGTGTCCAACAAATACATAAGCATTACAAGAGCGCTGTACTCGCATAGCTTAAACAGAGTGAGGACTTATGGCAAGCAGTTGGTGCCCTTCAATATCTCCGGCAGGGCTAGACGGAGTCATGGGAACCGCGTCCACTGTAAACGTTCTGCAAGGCACGGAGCTGCTCCCAGGTGACCGAATTGGTGACATGGAGTACGCCGACGGCATTGTGTTCGTCTGTGACAGCTCACAAACGTGCCAAACAGCCCTGGACAAATTAGCACTGATTGTCAGTCGTTCCGCGATATACTTCGCACTGTCGAAATGCAAAGTCCTTCTACAAGGTTGGTAGGAACCCACTCCTGCGCTGACTCATGGTGGGGGTCAGCTAGAAGTCGTTTAGAGAGTTAAGTACTTAGGCAACTATCTTAGTACCTGTGCAATAGAATATGGAGTCACGAACTGTATAGCAGAAGTTCGAGGTGATTTTGCCAATCTCTACCACCTGCGACGCCAGCGCGAAATTGCTCTCGCCCTGAGGAGCAGACTTTTTAATGCAGCCGTGCATTCAACCTTGCTGTACGGTTGCGAAACTTGGTCCATCAATTCGATAGACAGCGAGTCATTACGTTCGTTCATCGCTGCCTTTGCAGTTTAGCTCATGTTTGGTGGGAGCACTGCGTGAGCAATGAGCGTGTACTATATCTCGTACTCAGTGAAGGAAGAGCGAGTGTCGCGCTCAGCGCCGTTACTTCACGTACGTGTTGCGCATGCCATCATGCAGATCCACGCGACTTGCGTTGTTTGCGTGCCAGGGGTGTAGATGGTTGAAGAGAAGGGGAGGCCAAACGAAGACTTGGTCAAGAGGAGTGAAAACCATTACTTCGATTATGGGGTTAGTTGTCTTCTCCCGACCGCCGGGCTGGGGTCTGAAGTACGATGAACATGTTTGGTTGGATACCTTTGTAAACACAGCGAAGAGACAACCTCAGTGGCGTGTTGCGAGTTCATTTGTCTCTCTCCTTACTGCTTGTTTTCCCCCTATAACAACGAGCTGACGCTGCATGGGTAATATGATGCTTAGCATTAGATTACCTGCTATTTAGTTTTGAGTTGTGTAATATTTAGTAGTTCGCTCTTTATGTATCTTATCTCTCGTACTGCGGCAGTTAGCGGAAACGTGTTTCTCACTTTCAGATAATGGGTGATGGATCATAGGGTGATTTGGGTCCACTGTTTGCAACGGTATGGAGAGCAGTGGCAGTCACTTACCTGTTGTCAAGAGAAGATGTGAAAAATGGGGGAGTAAGCAGAAAGAGCATTTGAGACACTAGTCAGTTTGCAGATACCTTAAAACTGTCCAACTGCAAGTGGTTTGTTTAACGTTTCCCACTGTCAGCTCCTGACTCAACAGCTTGATCCACGAAGCAGTGTGGCAAATAGGAATTTGCTGAGACACTCCACTGGGAGACATTGACTCAATATTGAGAACAAGTTACAGGCAAAAGTCTTCAGCCTGGAGGTCTGTCTGCAAGATTCTGATTGGACATGTTTAGGACTTGTCACAGGCGGGGTTGGAAGATTTATGACAGTTCAGATGCACCTTTTATCAAGGCAGATCACACAACTGTCACTAGGGTCAATGACATATGAGTGTCTAATAAATGTCTGGCGGGAAGCAACGGGCAGCAAGCCGGTGAATAAACACCATGCTGTGCAAATTCCAGAGACAACTAGTTACGCTCTTGCGATACACCGATCGCGCTAAGCTTGCACTCCAAAACTCGTTAACCATGACTGAGTTTTGAGTGAAGAGGGCATCGATTCCGTTAACTTTCTGTCTCACCCTATGATAATTGACTCGTCTGGTAACCGGGGATGAATGCGCCTGGAAAGTGCCAGCGAAATAAGCTCAATGGATCATGCAGGAAAGCAAACAATCATAAAAAGATAATCCAGTTTTATCATGGTGGTGAAGAACCAGTACAAAATACTGACGTTCTGTCACAACACGATGATGACATAAAACCGACAGGAAAAGAAAACAGGCAGAAGGCTTGGAGCCTAGATGACAAGCTTCAAATATTGTGCATGATTGTGTAATACACATCGCGTTAACAAGTTTGGATTTCGGATGAGCAGTAAAAGGGATAACTCATTATCATGAAAGTATATTTTTGAAGGCATAATGAAGGCTAAAATCAATCGGTGTCAGCTGTGATAGGGAAGGATAGACTCTCCATCAGATTGTCCACCCGCTCTTGCAATTTCCCAAGGATATCCGCGTCGATGAACAGATGGTAATCATCCAGATCAGTGTGCACAAAATTTGTGCCTAGAACTAAAGTCTCCGCTAAGTGAAGAAGAAAATGTTTCATGGCTGGGTCGCTGCGGAGAAAAAGGTGCTAGTGAAATGCTTATAAGGAAGAGCTTACCACTTGACCAATATACCTTTATGTACATTCACCATCTTGTGTGGGGCCTAAACGGTCCAAATATACTCACACCTACAAGAACACAAAGGAAAAACTGATGATTTGTTGATCAAACTGGAGGTGAAGGTACAGAATTACCCAAAAATACTAGAAATGATGGTAAGAAAGTGTGAATACAGTAGTCTTTCTAAAATGAAGAGCAAAATCTTGTGTCAAACAGAGAGCACTTTAAGTGAATTGACCGAAAAGGACCAGACTTTAAAAGAAAGCTATCTTGCCAAATCCTTTGTGAAAAAGGCATCTGATGATTCCGACGCGGCTCATCTTGAGGCGCTAAAACGAAGGAAACTGATGTGTTTAGTCCACGAAATCTACAAAGCGCTGACGCCGGTGTTTGCCTACTGATGTGTCAGGATAAGCACTTTTGACGGACTACGCTAGGCTATACAACAACTTAACGAGCTACAGCAAGAAAAGGAAGTCAGGAGGATGAGTCGTCTAGAGTCCGATATAAGAGGACAAATCAGCAGTACGTTGGTATGCAGTATAGATGCCTCGCTGCCGCGCAACCACCCCCAGTCGCACTTGGGCTAAGGAAAGTAGGAGGATCGCTCGGTACCCTACGAACGCTCAAACGCTTACCTTTGGATTACAAGGCAGGTTTTTGATTCTTGGCCAGGGATCGTGGAATTCGACCAGGGCTGCAACGGTTGTGGTACTAAGACTTAAGGTAAAACTGCTAACATAGCGTATACAGTTGACCAGAAATAAAAATGCTTGTGGGTAGGGGTGCGGCAGAGAAAGGTAGGTTGTTCTGAGAAATGGGTATTTTTGTTGCAAAGGAGTGTTCACCAGACTAGAATATTGACAGTCCAAGTTGCAGGGGACCGGGCATCACAGACGTGGACTGGGTTGAACGGAAGGTAGAAATGTAGACTGCTCTTCACAACAACACCAAGACCTCAGGTCATACGACACGTGATCTCACAATCTTCACAATCTTCATCATCATCATCATCATCATCATCATCATCACCACCATCATCATCATCATCATCACCACCACCATCATCATCATCACACTTTAACTGAAGGCGAGAAACACACTTCAACTATTGTGCCGAAATGCAAAAAAATAAAACACGAAAAACAGACGTGCCAAACAGTACAGCATACAAAATAAAGACCAAAATTTAACGCAATCTTCAGTATCATATATTATATTGTACATAATCTGTGGTACAGATATCGTGCCATCGGAATCATGGCTGAATAAGAAAACAATATGAATAATAAGAAAAGAGCAACAACAAATGCTTTGTTTGTCTATTTTACCACTCACAGTTTCTGAAATTTTTTCAGTTTGTTCTTTTTTAGGGGGAGGAAGAAGGGACACCGCAACAAACCGATGCACACGTCCGCCATTGACATTGATCTTGAGCCATGGCTTCCAAGGTCTGCAACCAGCAAGTATCCTCATCTCTCGGACCCCAACTAGGTAGTCGACAACAATCGGCCGAGATCAATGTTTCGTCAGCTTTTTCAAGCGGCTTCTCCATGTTGTTGGCTGTCCACCAGACCGTCTCTTCCAGCCCTGTCCAGCAAGTGCAAACAACGCACGACGGGGGTAACGCTGGACAGGCATGCGCAATACGTGTCCCAACCATCGCAGTTGATGCAGTGAGACAAGCTCCTCGAGCGAGTGGCTTCCACGTCCCAAGACACGCTGTCTAACTTCCACATTGCTTACGTGGTGCTGCCACCACACACGGGCAATGGACCGCAGACAGCGGTGCTCGAAGACGGATAGCCTGCGCAAGTCATCTTTACGAATGGGCCAGGTCTCGCATCCGTACAACAGCACAGCACGAACAGTTGCACAATAGACCCGCCCTTTGATGGAGAGACGAAGGTCGTGGCGACGCCACAAATGCCTCAGCCTAGAAAAAGCGAGGCATGCTCTCGAGATACGCATCGAAATCTCGTCTCCAACAGCCCCGCCAGCAGTGATGCAACTTCCCAAGTAGACAAAGCTCTCCACAACTTCTAGTGTCTCACCAGCAAGCGTGAGTGCAGGCAGAGGCACCTGTCAGTCTTGGAAGAGAGCCTTGCATTTGGATGGCGAAAAGTACATACCGTACTTTGATGCTTCAATCGCCAAGCGGTTTAATGCAGGTTGGACGACGTGTGGATCGTCATAATATGAAATGAGTATAGGATTGTGGTTAGGGGAAGCTAAGTGGGGGTATGGACAAAGAAACAACAAAAAGGCTATTGAGGCCGGTTCTTCGTCCCGACAAAAACTGCGCCCAACCAAACGTGTTCATCGTCTCACGGGCTTAAACGCGGTAGCCGGGGGGGTACCAACTGACACCAAGTCGTAATTGAAGGACTTCATTCCTCTTGACCAAGTCATCGCTTGGCCTCCACTCCTCTTCTTTCGTCCACACCCCGGCCGCGCAAAAAAGCACACCACCGGAGTTGGTGTGCTGCATACGCAACACGTGACCCCGCTATTGAAACATGGTGCGAGAAAAAGGTGTTGTGCGGTCCACTACCTCTCCCCGGACCGTAGAAAAGTTGGCGAACATGTTCATTGCTCACGTCCTGTTCCCACTAGACGTTATCTATGCTGCAAAGCGAATGGTGTTCGAAAGTCTGTCGATCAGGTGTGTCAATTTACACAACGTTAGTAGGGTTGAACAGACGGTTGATGATGGACTCCACATTTTAGAGCCGAAATGATGTCGCGCGAGCGCAACAGGTGGCAAAGACTAGCAAAAGCACATAGAGCGCATGCTACACGGCACTTCATGCCATTTATTCCACAGGCGGTGAAATAGTTGTCCAGGTAGTTAAATTGCAGAACCTTTTCGGCTGATAACCACCAAGCATCAGTGAAGGAGTGGGTGTCTGCCCATCTTGGAGGACTTTGCATTTCGAAGGTGTAAAGCACAACCCGAAAAGATTGATAGCCAGTGATAATTGGCACCTTCAGGAGTTTCACGGATTAGAGCGATGTTGTCGGTGGACGCCAAGTCAAGAAGTCGAGCACCTGAGAGCAGCTCTGCACATTGTAGGCCACGCCCTGGGAGTGCAATTTTCATGATTTCGTCAAAGACGAAGTTCCTATGGAAGCCAACAGCAGGCAGCCTTCTCACACTCCGCTGGAGATAATGAATTGCAGACACAATTCGCCATAAGCTTTCACTCTGCCCGAAATACGCGAGTAAGACGTATACCCGTCCTATCGGAAATAAAACAATTAGATATTTGTTTAATGACTTATGGGGCATATTGCGTAAACTCACAGTTTCAAAGAACACACCGATCTACCGAATCGAAGGTAACTTTGATGTCTAGGAACATGATTACAGTGGGTCGAGAATAAATATGGCGGTGCTTTAACAATGGATGGAATGTGAAAATATGGAACCAGCCGGCTTAGCACCATCCTTATAAACGAGATTCCCTCGAAGCTGCAGTTTGTTAAGGTCTCTGATATAACCAACAATTCCAAGAGCACATGGAACCATACCAAGAGGCAGAAGATTACTGTTTCTGACAAAATGGCTCACAACAGGTATGGCGGAGCGCTGGAGCTAGTTGGACCAGTAATCTGCAAAATCGCATTTAATGGAGTGGAAATGACGGGGACATGCCGCCTGATGGACAGACCGAAGCTTAACCTTCCTGATATCAACTGGATCAGAAGGTGAGAGCCGTTTGATGTTCCACTGAACCAGATCTGTAATCGTGTCCGAGCGAGGCTAGACCCTACAACGAAGTTTATCGAAGACATGACACGGTTGCTTAAGCGTAGGTTCGCCTCTGTGTTCCAAGGTGGCCTAGGTTATTGCACAAAATCCAGGACAACACTGCCTGCGTCCAGGAGCCAAACCGGCCTTCAGGATTAAAAGACCGGTGCCATATGAAGTCATACCAACGGTTGAACAATAATTCGATCGACTTGTACGATCCGACGTCATCACACCTGTAAACTACCCGACATGGGTCACATCCCATGTTGCAGTGAAGAAAGCGAATGACTAGGTACGCGTCAGTGTCAATTTCTTAACTAACCAGAAAAATGCGCCTGACGACGGCAAGTGTGCCGGTGCCCACGGGATCCCGCCTGTAGTATTGAAACAAGGCGGACCTGCGTCGATGACTACGCTGCACCCCTTGGTGCAACGCGTGTGGATTGAGGAGGTGCCTCCTGAGCTGAAGGATGCCAAGTGATAACAATGTACAAGTGCAAAGGTAGCAAGCAATGCATCACGAAGTATCGTAGTATCAACTAGCTAAGTTGTGCGATGTTTGCTCGAAACCTGCTCAACCGTCTCGTCAGTTAGGTTGTGGAATCAAACGTATCGGAAGAGCAATATGGATTCCGTTCTGGTCGCAGCATTAAAGATATGGTGTTTGCGGCTCGTCAGTTGCAGGAGAGGTGTAGAGAACGACACCAACTTTCATACTCGCGTTTTGTTGATTACACAAAGCATTTGATACGGTGAACCGCGAGGCATTGTGGATGATGTTGGGTAATTTTGGTAGCCCGAGTAAATTTCTAGGTCTAATTGAATGTCTGCACAGTGGTATGCGGGCGAGGACGCTGCTGAGTGAACAGATCTCGGATGACTTTGCAGTTACCTCTGGTGTGAAGCAAAGCTGTGTCTTAACTCCTGCCATGTTTAATATGTATCTGCATGCCGTGATGTCTTGCGTTTTTGATGCGGATTGTGTTTACGGTGTTCGTGGGGAGTACCGTATTGATGGTGGGTTGTTGGCTGAACATACGTCGTTTCCGTGCGAGAACCCTAGTATGTGAGACAACTATCCGTATGTTGCTGTTCGTTGACGACTGTGCGTTGTTTGCACACAGCGCATGAGTTGAAGCATATGATTAGTGCTCTGGCTTCGACAGCGGCCAAATTCGGGCTCACCACCAACACAAGCAAAACTGTCTGTCTCTTTCAGCCTTCACCAGATGTGCAACTAACAGTATTGCCGCAAATCAGCATTGGTGCTGAAATACGATAAACCAACTCCCGCTTCTGCTACCTCCATCGC